ATATTCTCATATTTAATTAAAACATTAATGAAAAGTTCACTTAGGTAAAAGTTTTAAAAAATTTTGTACAGCCCCTCAGCATTAATATACGTTTACAGCTCAAGGTCTCAGCTAGGCATACAAGAAATAACAGCTTACAAATACAAGCTTTCAAAGAACATCTACTGTAGGACCTAAAATATTACTGGAATTCAAATAGTTATCTCCCTGCACTTTTCCTGAAGAACCTTATCTTCTACCTTTACTCTTTGTCTGCACTTCATCTATCATATTTACTCCTCAGGAGTTAAGTTCAGCTTCTACCTTCCAGTAAGCATTGTCAGGGATGCATAAGTCTGTCTTTAGCGCACAGGCTACTGCCAAGAAACAGTGCTATTAAAGCTCTTAGCACACCACTGATTTGACTAGTTTGCAAGACAAATTCTAAACTTACTGAACGCAGAAAACATGATGTATTTATATTTGTATCCTCAGAGGCTGCAATATACAAAGTATTTGGAAGAACTTTTATGACAGTAGTGAATATGAAACTGCAGTAAGAAACTTAGAACTAAATTGAAAAGTTAAAGACTATTTTGCAAGACTAAGGTGAGAGCAGAAACAGTACTATAACACAAAATTTGAAAAATGAGAAAGCCCAAGTCAAACTGATGACATTCCAGGTTGTAGAAATTATCTGCGTCAGAACAAGTCATTTCCATGTTAACTTCAAGACATTACAAAATTAAACATTTATCTTAATCAGCTGTGAAGTTAATTAAAACTGTAGAACTTCTAGATAATAATGGAAGGCAAACAATGTATTTAAACATTAGAAGTCTTCACAGTACTATAAACACAAAATACACTGCCAAAAGGTTAATTTCACATGGGACCCAATCACACTCTTTTTTAAAGGTCTCCCCTAATGCTTAGTTACAAGCAATATGTTCATTCTTTTCTGTTTAAGGATCCTTCATCTTATACAGAATGTAGTACTTACTGCAATCAGTGCTGATCTGCAGAGAAATCAAAATGAGATATATAGTGTGAAATCTAATTTGTTTTCTTTTAAATCTTAATAATGGGATCTGCCTACTTCCTCAAGAAGCAGGTATGTTACCATCATCTCAAAAGCTTAAGGGATCTTTGTAATTATAATATTCTTTTTGTGTCTGAACTTTGCTGAATTAAAGATGCTGTACTAAAAAGTTGGGGGGAAAATTCGAATAAACACTATTTTACAATAAAAGAATGCAGTTCCATATTTTAAAACATAACACAAGTTTTTAAGACTTAATTCTTGTTTCTTTCAACTTGCATTGATTAGCAACAAGATTTCAGAACATAACAAGTCCAAGCATACCACAGGTCACTTGCTAAAAATTTTTTCCAGATTTTAAAATCAAGTTTTGACAGAGAGATAGAAAACACAAAAATTTAACTTTTAATAGAGAAAAAATGTTTTAAAGATCATTAGGGCTCAAATTTGATTTGTACAATAGGTAGTGAAACAAAATACAGAAGCCTCAACAGTTAAAACAGAGGCTAAAAGGACAGCAGATGGGTTACATCATATTTTAGTCAGTCTTATAGAATGTCTAATGCATGCTATATAAGATGCATGAAATATAGTAAGTCTAACAATAAACAAAAGTATCTACCAACATAATATTTGTAGTATTCATTTCTTAAATATCACATAAAAGTACTTAGTCTATCACTCTACTGCTACATTACTGCCATATCCATATATTCATCTACAAAATATCCCCCTCCAGTGTTCTAGAAAAGGTAATTCATTTTGTAACTAAATTTCCTATCATAAACAATACTTCATAAACAAGTTCCAGAATTTCTGCATCAAGTTCAAGCTACAAACCTTAGAATTCACTGAAGAATTCGTGAGTTTACTTGTTCGACTGGTTTACTTTTTTACTGTTTTGGGGACTTTTTTGGTCTTATTTTGTTATAACTATATCAGTCAGATAATTTGTCTTTTCATATATAAAGGACATAACAATACACTAACCTGAATTTTAAGACACACTTGTTTAATTTTCATCGTCCAAAAAAATTCATCCTTTTATCTACACATACTTTTTTTTGTCAAAAACACAAGAGTTTTTGTATTTAAACATCTTTTAAAAAAAAAAAACAAGGTAAAAGTTCTTTAAACTGTTCAAATAACACAAGGTTTCCTGAAACATTACACAGCAAATATTGAAAACCAAGCATACTTTCAAAACAAATACGACTGAAATTTACCTGTTGAACAAAGTATTTCAATTTTATTCATACACACAGCCATCCATACGGCCAAGCCAAAGCACAATATATACCAGCAACTATTCAAAAGCCATATTTGGGTGTATTCCACACACAATTCCAATTTATGAGTCCTTCGTTGGGGGCTTCGAGTGTGGGTCATTCTACTCTATCTCAAGTCACAGAAAAAAATAGTAGTATTTTAAAAGCACAATTCCAGCAAGCACAATGAAAGAATGTAGTTTTGGTGTTCCTACTTAAATGTGAATATGTTTCAAATTTCTGACTGGCACGCAGTTTCCAAGTTGACCCTTACAGGTTACAATTACCAGAAGAAAAGCTCTAATCAACTTTCTGAATATGGTTCATTTTCAAAAAGCAAAAAAAAAAAAAAAAAAAAAAAAAAAGCTGCAAATTCTTAACGTATCCCTAAGCATCACTCTTCATAACGATTTCTAACTAAAATCTGGAAATTAATTAATGATGCCAGGTCGGTCAGAAAACATTTTAAATGGTAATCTAGACAAATGTAGCTGTTCAAAAACTTGAGTACCTTGAGAAAATGCTGCAGAAAGGCCACATTGAAAACTAGGAGGTCAAGACTATTAACTTTTTAAGAAAGGCCACATTGAAAACTAGGAGGTCAAGACTATTAACTTTTACATGTTACTTATACATTTAGGCCATTTTAAAACTACAAACCTTAGACAAAAATCTTTAATTCTGTCTGGGATCTATTTTTCAAACACGTATTCGTAACTATATAAAAATTTTAGGGTGAACTTTATGTCCTAATAAGTACAAGAGGTTTATTCCATATTCAATCTACTCTTAAAAATTGTCACTGTCACAGAAAAAAAAATTACTTAGTAAAATTCAAATTATAAGTTTCTTGACTGTTACAAATCGTAAATAATGGCTACTCCTCTGCAAATACATAGCTTCGAACAGTGAAAACATGGAGGGGTTTAGGGAGAGACTAAATACATCGGGGCCTTTAAGAATTAAAATATTTTTCAGTGTTGATTTAAGATATGAAAATATACACAAATAAGGCTTAGAATTCTAAAGAACAACAAAAAAATGATTTGGATACAGTAATCCCTCTGAGGCGGTATTAGACCTCCTGCTATCGAAGAAGGGCGTACAAGATTACACAGGTGTAAGTTTAGAGGCCACCAGTAGTTATCACCTCTGAGACAAACACTATACACACTACACATCTGCAACCTAATTTTGCTTCAGCATCCCCAGAGACTTGAAAAATATTTTGGGGGGATAGGCTGCAAAACTGTGCTTCCTCTTTTATGCTCATCACACCCATGACGATACAAACCAACAGAAAGAAAACCAAATCGCCAACTGCAAGAGCTGGATTTAACACACACACACACACACACACACACACACACACACACAGCATCTTCTTTCCAACTCCTGAATCGGTATTCATTCCACCTGTTTGTAAATCCATACTTCCACAATTAACACAAACCCTCTGCCGAGAAAAGAAAGAAAGAAAACAGGCAAATTAAAGCTTTGGAGGAGTCATTATTCTTCTACCTAGGCATGGGGGAGGGGATAGTACAAAACAATGGATATGGAGGGGCTGGGGGAAAAATTCGTTTCGCCCTGAAGCCTCTGGCTTACAAGCTGGGGCGGAGGGGGGGGGGCGGGGAGTTCATACTACTTTTCCTCTATCCCTAAAAGCTATCACCGGAGATTGCCATCAGAAACGTTTAACCGGGCGGTCCCGGTGGCCACAACTCGCTTTTCCAGCAACACACTCTACACGGCTTCGCCACTCCTCAGGATCTTCAGCGGGAGAAGACCTCGAGGGCGCCGTGGACTTTCGGAACCGGGCGAGGGGTCCCCGCCCGCAGGAGCCCCGCCGCGCCCCGGCCCCCGCCCGCTGCCCGCCCGGCCCGCCGGCCCGCAGTAGCCTGGAGCGGCGGGACCCTCGCAGGGCGCCCCAGGCCCGCGCCCCGCTGTCCTGCTGCCCGCGCGCCGCAGGCCCGTCCCGCGCTGTCAGAGCCGGCGGTCCGCGCCAGGCACCAGGCTGCAGCTCTGCGTGCGACCGGCGCCGAAGGCCCAGCGCTGCCGGCGACAGCACCCAGGAAGGCGGCGGCGGCGGGCGCCTCCCAGGGCCCCGGCCCCGCGGGCCTCGCCCCGGCCGCGCCGGCTTGCGCCTGTCAGGGGAAGCGGGGCCTCCCCCGACCGTCAGCTACCCGGCTGCTCGACAGGCAGGAAGGCAGACAGGAAGAGCCGACCAACAGACACCCTCCGCCTCGCCGGCCCCAGGTTACCATCGGGAGCCCCGACTCCGCCATCCTCGCTCGCTCCTTCTTCCTCCTCCTCTTCTCCTGGAGCGACGCTGCCCAACCGCCGCCCCCCGTCCGCCCCTCCCCCACTCGCCCCGCCCCTCCACACACTGTGGCTCCCACCGCCCCGCCCCACCCCTCCGGCGCGGGCAGCTTACTAGCTGGGAAAGAAATATGGGCGGAGCCAAAACCTAAAGAAATCGCCCAATTACAGTGACGCACTGGCGCCTGCTTCCCTCTCTTTGCCCTCTTGCTGAGCTCTGCGGCTCTACTCGGTCTCCTGCCCACTGGGCGCCGCTGGTTTGCCTGACTACTGAGTAAACCTCCAGCGGGGTAGAGCGGACGACTCCCGATTTGAAGTTAACAGTTGAAGCCAAGGCAGCCATAACTGATAGTGGCAGCAAGAGTTTCCTGGCTTCCGGTCTCCGGTGTGACGTAACTTTTCCTTCGCCCAAATCTCTCCGTTACCCGGGGCAACGGCTGAGCCGACTGGGGAGGGACGCTTCTGTTAGGCAGGACCCAGGAGGGGCAATACATGACCAGATTCCCGTATTACGGGAGTTAATTCATACTCAAGGCTACCCGTTTGTTTTCCTGGCCGTTATTTTGCAGAGAAGACCTGGGTGGACAACAGATTCGGGCTCCCAAAATCCCTCTTCTGTCCGGAAGTTGCATTTGGCACTTCCGAACAGGGTCGCGCAGAGGGATGAGAATAGTCTCCGCCGCCCGCGCCCCAGGTAGAGCCTGTTCTCGAGCGGAGCGGCAGCGCGAGGTGAGTGTCCCTGGGGCCCCAGGCGCGGGCCCGACTAGGGCCGCACGGTCCCCGGGGGACTGAGCGCTGAGAAGGTGCGCGGGGCTCCAGACCGCTTCCGCTGGAAGGAGGTTTTCTTTCCGGCCGACCGGCCGGCCGGGCGCTGGCCCGCCTCCCTCCGCCCCTCTGAGGCTCCCTGTGGGGCGAGGCCGCTCGACTGGCTGCCCTAGGCCAGCTGAAGCCGGCAGGGCCGGGAGGGCCCTAGTGGGGTGGGAGCGCGCCGCGGGGCGGCTCCGCTAATTCCTGTAGGATGGAGCCTCCGCAGGTTCGCGTCAAGTGCAACGCTTTCACTCCCTGACCCTGGACAATTCTAGAGCTTGAGGAAATCACTTTCCACCTCCGCGGCGAGACCACAAGTCTTATTTTCCCATCGCTTGTCTTCACCAGATTTTTTCTAGCTTTTTCTTTTCTGGCCTTCCTTGGGCCTTTGAAAATCTTACAGTTCTAGGTAAGGGTATACTGTTCTAATTCTCTCAGGTTTATTAGGCAAATTATTGCTTGTGCCTTTTCGTGAAAGACCGTATTTTACACTGCTTTTGCCAAGATTATGATAGTATCTTGTGTGATTCTTTCTGTAGGTTTGAGCCAAGAACTCTCAATCATCTTGATAATCCCAGATTAGATGCCTAAAGCTGAAAAAAAAAAATGCAGAACGTTCAGGTACATTTAAAAATTGATTATACAGAACCTAGCCAGCTGACAGTGCAAGTACTACCTTCTCTACCTAATTTCTTTATAATTTCTTAGTACTTGTAATCCAGCAAGGATAAATAGGTACCCATTTGTTCCGAGGTTAACCACTGTAATTTGTTGTAGCAGCAACGTTTTGTGATTTTATACCATGATTCCCTTATCACTGGAGGTGTTTCCAGATGCACCCCAACAGGAAGTAGTTTCCTCCACGCTTATCTAGCTCTTTCTGTATCTTTTTATGACAATTATTTGTTATGCGACTGCTGCTTGTTTTTATCCTCTCTACCATGTCCATGCCTAAACAGAATGGTTTGCATCAAATTCACTTACCTGAGATGTCACTCCGTGTAGGATAGTACTTGGATAAATACTTAACTGAAAGAGTAAATATACTGAGTGTTTCCTGGATGCCTAAGACACTGCCAGTCCGTTTTTATGGATCTTCAGCTTATCCGAAATTTAGTATAGTGCTACTACTCAACTTTTTCTTAGATTTTTCGCTCTGAATTCTGGCCACATGATTTTTCCCCAAATGTTCTATTATGAAAATCTTCATACATTAAAAAGCTAAAAGAGTACAAAGTTCTTATGCCCTACTATATTCAACAGTTGTTAAAACATTTTGTAACATTTATTTCCTTCCTCTACATTTTATTGTCACTGAACCATTTGGAAATAGATTACAGACAGTATTAGGTAGATGCCTCTAAGACATCTAACATGAATTTCCTAGGAAATTTGAAGCAGTTCTGCAAAACAATACTATTAATACAGCTAAGAAAATTAATACTTTTATAATATTTAAAGTTTTTGTGCAAATTCCCCTAAATGATTCAAGAATATCTCTTACACCCTGTCCCTATCCCATACCTCCGAAATCAGAATCCAGTCAAAATTTATGTATTGTATTTGGGTGCTACAACTCTAGCCTTAACCTAGAACTATCATCTTTCCCATGACATTGGCATTTTGAAGAATTTTTATACTAAATTCTCTTTGTAAAAAAAAGCCCCCCCTCCATTTTTTCTGTGAACCAGGAGTTAATATAAAAAGTTAAGTTTAACAATTTTTGAAGGAATGCTTGGCAATTACTTTTCCAATCATGATTAAGCCTTCTTAAATGCAACTTGTACCCTTGCTGTAATTTGCTAGTTAAATCCCTCCCACTTAGCAGACAGAATTTAGCATTTAATCTTGGGAGTGGAGTATGTTTCCTCAGCTGCCTACCTTTAATAAAGTGTTGCTGCTTATTTTGCCTTTAGTTGAAGCTGATGCAATGCAGTCTTAGCAAAGTACACTGATGTCAGCATAGTTTCATGAGTTTCAACTCTGAGCACCCTGCTGTTTGTTGATGAAAGATGTGTGGGCCCTGCAATTCAAATATAGATGACTCTTGCTATTAAAGCATATACTTAGGTAACTGTTACCCAACTGGCCACAATTCAAGTAATTTTTTTTTCCCTGAAATTCTTTTGCAAGTTCTAATTGGCCCTACTGTTTCTGAGATAGGTTTTTTTTTTTTTTTTGGTAGCATTAAACAGAACCTATTAAAAACTGCAAAATCAAAATTATATTTAACACGTAAGTCATAAGAAACAGTTTCTAAACAGTCTCTAACCAGTGAATAGAGAAGTGTTTGTGGAATTTACTTCGTGATCACAAGAGGAAAACTCCTAAGGTTACCAAGCTCATATTTTCCTCCTCCCATAGACATATTTCATTATAAAAGATAAGTGAAAGAAAGAAAATGCATTTAAGAAAGCAGAAGAAAATGCTATTGGAGTAACAAAGTTAAAGATTTTTCCTAATTTCTAGGGGACTTTAGAAAAGTCTGTATTTTTTATAATAGGACAGCAGATTTTGATATTTTTAGCATCATATGGAAAGTTACCTAATGTATTATCAGTTGCTTTCATTGGGTAGAAAGAAATTTGTTTATATGGGATTTTGAAGTAACTTCATTTTGCTTTTCCAGATAGAGGTCACTGTTTTGCTCAGGCTGCTTTTAAATTCCTAGGTTCAAATCCAGCAATCCTATCGCAAACTCCCAGGTGTCTGGGATTACATGCACCACTGTACTTGCCCAGTTTAAAACAATTTTAAATTCACTCCAGATTTAAGGAAGGCAAAATAACATACCAAGTTTAAAGACAAAAGTAGAAGAGCAGCTACTGTACTCATTGGACAAGACAGGAAGAGCAGAAAGTAATAGAAACAGATGAATATCAAAATATATTGAAACTTGCTGGGCATGGTGGCACACTCCTGTAATCCCAGCACTCAGGGAGGCTGAGGTAGAAGGATTGTTGCAAGTTCAAGACCAGCCTGGGCTACAAACTGAGCCCAAGGCCAGCCTGAACAAGACCCTGTCTCAACAAGACCAAAAAAAAAAAAAATATATATATATATATATATGCATATATATAAATTAATATATTTTTAAAGTTAGTTGGCATCTAAAAATTGGCAAAATGAAAATGTAAGTTTTACAGTCATGCCTAAGTTTCAGAAACAGTATGTTTACTAGCTGGGTAACCTTGAACAATTTACTTACTCTATTGAAAGCATCCTTAAAATTTTCTAAGATCATTGAGCAGAATTCTAACATATATAAAGTGCATTGGCTTAATTTATAGCACATGGAATGTGATCAAAATGTGGTTGTTATCATAAATAACTTCTGCAACAGTCCAATTTGGGCACATAGTAGGCATTAAGTATTTTAGTGAATGAGTGAATCTAAGAAAATTCTCCACAGTTAATGTGGGGAACTTAATGATTCTGATTCAGTGTTTTGCTATTTAGAGGGCTTTAGGAAAATTTATATTTTTAATAATAGCCCAACAATTTTTGATGCTGGTAGTTAAGGACCAGGCTTTGAGGAATATGTAAAATATCCAGCATTTCTCCTTCCTATGTATGTTGGAAATAGCTAATTAAATATCTCAGATGTGGAACAAATACTTTTTCTAAAAGCTAATAAACAGTATTGATAAGGCCATTGTCTAGTATTAAATTTTGAAAGACATTGTGCACAAGTAGGATGTGTCATTGTCTACTAATAATGTCTGCTACTACAGTGTGCCAAAGCCAACATCATCAAAACTCACCAAGTTTAAAAAAAAAAAAAAAAAACACCAAGTACATTCCTGTTCTAAGGCCTAGGCACATTTCAGAAACTAGACCCTTCAAATTTTATTCACATGAGTCTGAATTAATTAGCCAAATTGAGCATGTTGCAGCATTTTTCTACCAGCAGATGCCAGATAGCAAAGCAGAATAGAATCTACTATAGTTTCCAACTGTATGACATATGTTAGTTGGCATCTCCAGATGAACGCTATCAATCCATATTAAGCACTCTGCTAGCATGTGGGCAGTTGCTCAAGTGAGAGTGAACATTACTACTTTGTGTCTGTTGAAAAACACATTCATTCTGAGGTTCCCTTTTCACTTTTTTCTCATTTATATTTCAGAATGTGTTTGAAATTTCATCTATCGGTCAACCTCAAATCTTGGATACGACAAAAGATGATTTTTTTATTAGTTATTTAGCCCACTCTTGGAAAGCCATTCACTGCCTGCACTAAAGAAGCTGACCTAACATATTCACAAAAGAAAGATACCTTTTGCTGTCTTTTACATAAATAGGATTGTTCTTGAGGCCTTCTTAGATTACCAGGGACTGTATTTTTATTTCTTAGTACCCACTAAGGCAGGCACATGCTTGCAGACCCAGCTAGATGGGAGGCTGAAATAAGACCATGTGACCAAAGGGAGTAGAGACTAGCCTAGGCAATCATAGCTAGACACCATCTCGCACATAAAAAATAAAAAATTCCAAGTGTCTTTAGTGGCTAGGCAAGGAAAGGGGATCACTATACACAGTAGTAAAGACTTTTAGAGCATATGCTCACCTAACTGGAGCATCACTTCCCAGCGGTAGCTGTATTTTGCTATGGGAGAATGTACACTTGATGTAGAGCTAAAATTTGGATTTTACGTGGAATCTCCAGACTTAAATATTGATTCAAATACTTTTTAAACATATAGGAAGCCAGTAAAACATTTAACTGGACGGAACCATAAGCTACCAGTTCATGATCTGTGTATTTCTACATGAAAGCATGATTAGTACTCTGGTTGAGAATCTCAAAATGGGTTGGAAGTCTTTTCTTTTTTGCCTTAGTTCAGGTGCTATGACTTCTCTAGGCTGAGCAGAAACAAAAGAGGTATCCAAAGTTTTTCAATCTTGAATGCTGCTATGAAATAGGGTTTGCCTAATAGTTTCAAAAACAACTTAAGGACACAATTTGGCAGGACATACTGGGGTTTTTTGTTTTTGTTTGTTTTGTGGTTGGTTGGTGTACTGGGTATTGAATCAGGGCCTTCACACAGCTATATCCATAGTGCATTTTTTAATATTATATTTTGAGACAAAGTCATTGAATTGCTCAGGCTAAGCTTGAACTTGCAGTCTTCCAGCTGCCGCCTTCCAGAGTGCTGAGATAATAGATGTGTAACACCATACTTGGCTACACTTTTTGTTTTCATACATGGTTACCACTAAATCACCAAGGTGACCGAGCTGGGCTCAGACTTGGGACCCTCCTGCCTAAGCCTTCCCAATAGCTGTAATTGCTGGTGTGCACCACCATGCCTGGTCTATGCTACTTTAAATAAACAGGTTTTTAAAGGAAAACACCATTAAATCGATCCTGCTGTCTTATAGGCAACACAGTGTTTATAAAGATTCAAATTATTTTAAAAGTTGGACAATACCTTCATACTCTGTATAACAAGTCCTTTATTATATATAGCGCTATGAAAATTATACCTAGAATAATGTTTGGATTTATTGTTCTGTACTTCTAAGCACTTTATATTCATTTGAACCTTGCAACCAAGGAAAGGTATGAAAACATGGTTTTTATGAAGTAATAAAGCTTCTGGTTAGTTAAATATATTAAGAGTCACATAGCTAGTTATTAGTGTGGTCAGAGTACAGCATTGTACCCCACTTAAAGTATGAATGTGAGGAATACAACTACTTAGCACCAGACTTAGAACCCTACACACTATTTAAACTTCAAATATGTAATAAATTGATAGGAACAAAATATCTCTACTCCAATCTTCTTTTTTATTTGCACCACACATTACTGTCATAGCTTACTTAAAACACTTGGAGCCCTAGAATACTTTGCAGCAATCCATTTCAGACTTTAAAAATAGAATTTCATGTAATTAGGATAAGTGGATAAGTTTAGATAATTTAATGGAGAGGATAAAGTAGTAAAGTGGAGACCTAGTAACAGGTTAGTAGTATGAGGCCCATATTACAAAAGAGGGCAGCAACATTTACTCATGGAGTGGCTCCTTGGGGCCTCTAGCAATAATCAAGTATTGGGAGACACTGTAACCTATAAGGACTGTTTTTGAAATCCAGTCCTCTCCTGAATATTTTTAGAAACCAAGAGTTGGCTTTGCCATTCACAGTGTGTTTTTCAGTTTGAATTTTACTCTTCTTGTCCCCTTCTCTGTCTGCCTATTGCGTGACCATAGCCTATGTTTTTTGGATGGCTGGATAAAAACAGTGTGATCTGGAGCTAATAATTACATCCAGCTATTTAACCTATGATCTTAGTCTAATCAATGTATTCATCTGAGCTGTCACAGAGGATCTAATATACTCTGTGATATATCATGATGAAGAAAATACTGGATTTTTTAAAATATTGCATATTTCTGAAGAAATTAAGCTTGAGACTTAAAAGTTGTATTTTTTAAAAATAATAAGTTACTGTGGTGGAACACACCTGTAATCATACCTACTCAAGAGGCTGAGACAAAAGGATTGCAAATCTGAGGTCATTCTGTATAACTTAGCAAGCCCCAAAATAGAAAAAGGGCTGAGGCTATAGCTCAGAGCTCCTTATTTAATTCCCATACTACAAACAGTAATAATATTTCAGGCTGGAAACTACTCAGCGGTGCAGCACTTTCTTAAGTATGCATAAGGCCCTGGATTTAATCCCAGCACCAAGAAAAAATGTCAGTGGTATAAACAAAAATTCATGGTCAAAAATTAGTTTGTCCTAAAAGATTGCTTTCAGAGTGATAATAAATATGACAAACAATTGGAATGCTGAATCCACAAGTTACAAGGAAAAAGAACATCCACATGGTGGTTAGATCCATACATTGGTTTGTGACGTAGTTCCCAAATTAAAGGGGTGGGGGACATGTAGACATTAGTGATTGTATTGCACTTGTTTGTTTGTTTGTTTGTTTTGATCTACCTCATTCCGCACATTAACTGACTCCTGTTTTATTTTTGTTTTATGTAAAGGTTATAGTGGCTTCAAAACTACCTCCTCCACTAAATATTAAAGAGTATATGTTAGTTCAGCTTTCACTGGCTCCTGCTCATCATAGTCTGCTCTCTGAACTAACATCTCCTCAAATACTGCTGCTCCTTCAGTGGATGCTGCACTAAGTCACCTTCTATGCCAGTCTTCTAGAGGCAGTGCTGCTCTAAAATTATGATGGGGTATAACGTGTCCACATAAAAGTACGTGCATTACTTTGCATTAAACATCGTGTTGTTGCTAAACTAAAATTTAGGAGCCATTAAGCAAGACTAAAGGAAAGCAGCCAAGACAGTTGTCTGAGCAATTCCCTGCATTTTCCTTCTCTGGATGCAGTCATGCTTTTTGATTTTTCCCGATTTCAGAGATGTAAAACATGTACTTGTATTGTCATCCACAAAAGCAGTTTTAGGCTGTCACTTAATGAGATCATTCATTTTCCTGTTGAAATTGAAATACCCTCCCCCAGCATTCCTAAATCCCCTTAAGTGATCTTATCTTTCTGTAATACTGTCTTCTAGCACTGTGTTCTTTCTCTCACCATACACTAGGCCAGAGGTGGCAAACCTGTGGCATGAGTGCCATGGCAGGCTGTTTGTATCATTGAAAGTTCTAAAAGACTTGCCGTTGCTGCATTAGGCTATAAGCTCCAAATTTCCTTTTTGTCTTTCATTCATTGATGAACAGTGCCTGATACATGGTAGACATTCATGATTATTAAATTGAATGATTGTGGCATTTGTATAACAGACGTGTTTCAGCTCAGGCTGTTACCTTTCCTTTGACAGTTTGTCCTGATTTTCTATGCATCTTACCTGATCACTGAGAAAGTGCTCTTGAAGCCACAGCTACTTAGGGCACATTACACCAGACAAAACACACGTGTTTGGCTATTAGCAGGCCACCTGAAAAAAGAAACTAAATGTTCCTTCCTACTCTGGGCTTTCAAAGCAGTCAATTATCAAGACAATGTAACCAGACTAGTGCCAGCTGTCCAACCACCAGCTTGGTTATTCTAGCCCTTCCCTTCCTGTTTCTCTCCTGCCAGTGCCGAAGGGGGCCTAGAAAGCAGGAACCATGTAGACAGGTGACGACACTGATCCTCTCTACCAGTCCTTTGATTCCACACCCTTTCCACTAACAATGGCAGCTTAGTCAGAAATCTGAAATTTGGTAGGGCACCAAGTTTCATTGTTTTCCTCAGGCCAGACTTCTGACATGGGAGGCACAGACTTAAGAAAACAAAGGGTAGGGATTCAAATATTCAGCGTTTTAGCATTTTGGCAATACACTAAAAATCCTTAGCTCCAGTGTGTCTATTTCACCTTTATAATTTATTAGCCCTTTTATTGGCATGTCAGAATGTGTACCAAATATTTTCATTGCTATATCTTTAGTGGAGAGGGTAGGTGTTTTTTATAGTTACAACCAAAGCTAATCAAGGTCTGCAGTGTTAATGCTGTCCAACCTAACATGGATGGAGGAAAAAAAAGTGTATCAGGTATCACTGGCAGGACTAAGAAGCAGGAAGAATGTGGTAGAAGCAATGTGTTCTGAGGAAATTGCATTATTTATTTTGTTTCCCACCACAGTCCCTTTAATGCTGAGTTGCTTTATTCCAGGCTAATTTCCCCTGCATCTCTCCCTGATTGGGGGGGGGGGGAGGTAATGACCAGACTTCTGGAAAGCACATAGGGATTCCTGAGGAACTTGGTCCACAATAATGTGAGCGAGAAGCTTGGAGGATGGGAAGTAGGCAGCTGTTATCAGCAGTGTCAAAGCAGTGCTGCAGAACAACAGAGCAGCAGCTTCCCTTAAAGTTAGTGTGAGGCAAGTGAGAGGGCAGGCACTACGCCAGCATCACCACGTTATAAATAATGAATCTTTCTCCCGTGTGGGGCTGTTGTGAAAGCGTAAGGTTGCATCACTATGATGAAACATCTCCAGGTGGGACTGTGTAGAAAAGCATGGTTTTGGAAAGGAATCATTCTGTTACCTCATGCAGAACACCCTGAATATACATCAGCAATCCAGGAACAGAATACTCATGAAACAGCTATGCTGGTCCTTTCACACTTGCTCTATATTAGAGGGAAATAGTAAAGTGAAAGCATTTTTTGTTTCTGTGACAAGCCATTGTACTCATTGTGTGCTTCCTTAGACTGTAGCTGTGCAGGTACTTTTAGTAAGCCTTCTGTTTGCAGAGTGTAAAAGTAGAAACCAGTTGTTAACTACTAAAAATGGGAATGTTAGGAAATGTTTGCTAATACCTCCTCTCACCTCACTCATTTGTCAATTAATGGGTTTTTAAAAATATCTGTCTGCAAAGATGGCTGCCCTGTAAATTATTTTCTTCACCTGATATTAATAATCTTCATCTAAAAAGCGAAACTTTCCCCTGGGAGAAGAAAAATTTAGAATACCCAGCCTTCAAATTAATACCACCAGTGATTAATAAAAATGTATGTTTATGTAAATCTGAACCGTGATTCTATAAAAATAACTGCAGGAAATTAATGGGAAAATTATGCAAGGATAGTTCTATAAGAAATTTGATTTCACATAAACTATGATGGAAATGTCCCCAAATAAGCTTTGGGAATTTTTGAGTAACAGTAACAATTTTCTCATTGAAGGAGAACATCCTATGGGCAACATGGCAGATGTGAAACCAGTGTTCCGGGAGGTTCTTCCAAAACAAGGTACCTACATCATCGATATGTGTTATAGGATATTATAAAAACCTATAAAGTGATGGTGCCACACAGCAGGCACTTAATAGCTACAGATCTACAGACTGTTGTCGTTATTTACTGTCAATTTCTCCTTCTACTTTTGGCATGAATAGCTTCTAAAGGAGATCTTAACTTTTTTCCCCTGGTAAAACAGTAAAAAATGGAACATTATTTCTTATACCTAGAAATCCTGTTAAAGCCAGCAGTCCAGATTACAATATGAAACTTTTAGTGAAAGTGATAACGTGGCTGAAAATGGGGGAAAGGGTAACTAAATAGTAAGAAAAGCTGAAGGTTTTATATATTCAATAATTTGTTAAATACCATACCTTGCTTTACTTGTGTGCATTGTATGTTCTCCCAAACCATAATTCAAATTAAACATCTGACACAAAAAGTTTTACTTATGGACATGTGAGTCTTCATAGAAATTTCAAGTCTGTCTTCCTTAACACTTCAGTACTGTATTTGCTTATGAGGTGGCTATGATCATTCTGATCCTAAGCAGAATTCAGTCCGACAAGTTTTCCCACTGACAACAGATTTAAATTTGTTAGAAGTTCATTCTAGCTCTGTACTCAATTCACCAAATGACTGATTATCACTGAATTAATTTTTATTTCTTGTTAAACTTAGGGCAATTATCGGTGGAAGCTGTAACCACAATGGTGCTGTGTAAACCCAAACTTTTACCCTTAAAATCTCTGACTCTGGAAAAACTGGAGAAAATGCAGCAAGCAGCACAAGAGACCATTCGCCAACAGAAAATGACAGAAAATGAAAAACGGGAAAAAGCTCACTGACCAGTAAACTTTTAGCATGTAGGAGAGCACCCTACCTTACCTACAGTGTATTAACAACTAAAATGTTAATCTGTACCTATACGCTGAAAGTAGTACTTATTAGTAAGACTGGTAATACTTATTTTAAAATACCAAAGATTGATAAAACCTGTGAATTTAAACTCATTTGAACTGAGTAGAGTTAACTTTGAAGCAAATATTTTGGGGTCTTCATGGTTTCCAAATTATAATTTCAGTTAGTGTTCTCCATTCCTAGTGCTACAAGTTTGACACAGGCACAAATGACTAAATGCACCTTTTATACAGAAGATCTTTACATGTGTATTACAACTTAAACATAAAATGTTCATGTTGGCTTTTACATTATCTAATTAAAACATTTTTAACCAATTTTGTGTGCCACGTCCTGTTTAATGTTATCTTGCCTGATCAGTAATGATCCTACCAGTTGTCACAAGCTTCTTGAATGTGATTTTTAAGCAACTGTCACTTGCTTTGTAGTTAGCTTTTACTTATATTAACTCTAAAGGCTGAAGAATTACATAAATATCTTTACCATCCAAGCATCAAACAAGAATATGAAAATGCTTATAATTATAGAAACCTGAGTAATATGAGCTTAAGGAGCCTGTAAGACAAATATGAACATAAAATTTAGGCTGTTCTCAAAGGCAGTACCTAAACCTGTACCAGGTACCTTCCTAAAAATACTTTTATAAATGAATACAATCTCGGTTTGCTGTAGTCAGTGATAATTTAAATTACCAGACTTTGATGTCTTGCCAACTAATTAGGCTTTGTAAGTGGAGTTTAGAAATATAATCATTCTTTAGGTAACTGTTATTTATTCATAGTATTTTCTCAGACACTGGGTAAATATAAAGCTTTGAGTCCCTGGAGGAAAATATTTTATAACATTAGTCATTATTAGTAATACAGTTTTAAGAATGATGGAAGCTAGGCTGTAGATCAGATCAGTAAATAAAGTGTACATGTATTTCAGTATAATACTAGAAGAACTGTTTTTAAACTATTGTGTTTACTTAAAAGTCTAGAGGAAAAAGATTGTTAATAGCTCAAATGCACTAGGCTCAAATGTCCTTATATAAAACTCAACATGTGCTGTATGAAATTTAAGTTTTGTGTTTTGCTTTGTGCAGTACTGGGAATGGTACTTAAGAGTCTAATACCATGCTAGGGAAGAAATTAAAAAGTTTTTGGAAGACCACAAATAAGTATACTCCCAATAAAGAATCAACACTGCTTCACATGTTTTATTTTGTTGTACATTCTTGCAGAACCAGGTTCATTTTTCCAGTTTTGTAGAAAAATAGATGTTCCAGCCACCATTTATTTAACTGTCTAGTCTTTAAGACCAATCAATGTGTTCCCTGGAAAGATGAGTAAATCTCATGACTCGTTTTTTTAAAAATTCTTTAAGACAAAGTTTTTGTTTTTGTTTTTGTTTTTTACTCCCAAAGCACAGTATTTCAACAGCAGCAGCCAACATGGGGTTTAGCAGCTTAACTTTACCCCCTAAATAAAGCTTTGTATAAACCAGTGATTTTACTACAAAAAAAACACTGTCCTTGAAAGAAAGGAGTGGCAGTCAGACATCGATGCAAAACTTGGAATGATTAGGTCATAAACATGGCACTTACAAAAGGTAGCTTATTAGAATATTCCACCTAAGTGGCTGCTTTTCTCTCTTTCCTTTCTACCCTCAAAAAAAAGAAAAAAGAAAAAATTTTTCCTTTTAAAAATTCCCCTTAAAATTTATAAAATTTCAGAAAAGTCTTGTACCCAAAACAAGTACTAAAATTTAAAAAAAAAAAAAAAACTGTGCTAACAACTCTTACAATTCAGATATATATTTTTGTAACACCTAAGACTGCAGGAGTTGTTATATTCAGTAGCTCTCTGGTTTAAGGCGACCTCCGTCTCCTTCACTTACAAAACGTTTTCTGCCCCTGTAATGAAAAGAATAAAAATATGAAAACAAAATTTCACTATATACAATTAAAAGCTTGGCAATTTTTGGTTATACAGTTGGCTTAGAAAAATTATCAGCATGTCTTAATTTTTTGAAGACCATTTTTCTCTAGCATATCGTAGCAGAAAATGTTAAATGAACAGCAAATCCAAGGCGTTTTGTTTAAATAAAATCTTAATTACTAAAATACTAAATCATTCTCTTATTGGGACTATGTTAAATGTTGACAGGAAACTAAGACATTGAGTTTACAGTTTAATATTTATTTCTACCACATCATGTTTGAAAGTTACAAATGAGCCAGCTAGGAAACACTAATAGGATTATACAAACTAGAACTGTGATAGGTTCTAGTTTGATAGGCTCTATGCTTAACAATTTTTAAAATTTTTCTTAGCTGCAAGAAAAGCCACTAACTCAATGTGGAAAGGTAACGCAGGATACAGTTAATTCTAGCCTATTGGGGATTTTTGCTATTTCAGACTAAAGAAGCTCATCCCTACAGTGTCACCAAACTCTAGGTATTATAGGTAAGTAGTAAGAGCCCAGGAGAAAGCGCTAGTTCTGAATTATCCCTCAATATCTTATCACAGACCAACATGTACAAACATGTAAGATCACATACAGTTATGCACTTCACCAAAATAAGCAAAACATATGACAAAAGTCAAAGTTGTTGATGTACATTGAAAATTTAGGTGTCTCTGAAATGACCTGCAAGAATGAAGCCACAATAGAAATCAGACTTTCAAACGGAGGCTGAAAAACTTAAGCAGTGCCTGTTCAAACTCACTATGACTAAGTGGAAATCACCTACATTTTCTTCAATATAAAAGATTTGAGACCAGGTAGGGAATGAAGCCTTTCAAAAGATGAGACATTTTACCAATGAATACCATTTGGCACGTCAGTACATAAATGGTGTCATCACCAAGCCAAGGTCTACATTTCCAAACATTTCATTCAAAACCATCAAACCATCTTCCACTGTTTTCCTTCAGTCTTAATGGCTTCTACACTTTGTAGAGCATCAAGAACCCTACCAAGAAATATTTTGAGAGATTGAACTTTCACAATGCACTTAAATAAAAATACTCAAAAGTTTACGTTTTTTGGAATAAAAAATTACAAAAACTTAAAATGCATAAATTAAAGCAAATTTTAAGTTTATCACTATTGCATTATAAGCATTATCACTGACAAAAATCCTTACTAACTCAAGCATTACATCCTAGCAGTACAAATAATTGCCTCCAAAGACGCAACATACTCCTACATGTATGTGCATTTGCACATACTTCCTAATAGCCCCAATTCTCCATCCTATGAGGAAACAAAGCCACAGAGTATGGAAAAGCATCCTAGGATCTCTGAAGCCTAAGAAAGTCTGAACTCACACTTGGCCTCTACCATGTGTGAACTTAGAAACAGTATATTAAACTCATAATCGTCAATTTTCTCATCTTACTAGTGATTAATACCTACTCTGAAATAACACTGAAACTACTTTAAGGTTACACAAAACAAAATTAACTTCCTTACAATGAACTAGAGCTTCATGAGGTACTACCCACACATTTATTAGAAGGCAAAACAAGCTTCACTTGTGTTTTTCCATAAACTGAAAATAAGATGATTTTTGCTCTTTATATAACACATCAGAGAAGATACTATCACGGTATTTTTCTTATAGCTGGAATGGCAGGAAACTATATAGATAGCCTTCTAAAGTGTCTTATCCAGTATTTTACACTAAGAAAATACTATTTAAATAAAATACCTTGAAGGACAAAGATCTCTGAGTTGTTTGGAAATTATTCCAACCTGAAAACATTCTTCTACAAATCTCTCCAGCACAGAGTATGAATGTGGGACATCAAGGTTAATGTCAGGAATTTCATTATAAATTCTCTCATAACCCTAAAACAATGAAATTATACATAGAATTGTTGTTAGCCTATATAAAATACATAGCCTGAAACAGTCCATTATTACATCAATCTATTTAATATCAAATGTTTGTATGATCAAATGTATCAGATCTGCATCCTTAAAAAGTATGGAGGTAGATTTGTTACAAAATGTTTTCTTTAAAACTTTCAAAACAGCTGCAGGAAAACATCAGACAGGTAAATTTCTCATGTATTTCTCTACACTTACTACCTTTTAAAAAATACATGGCAAATGTCATTTGTCATTTCAATGCTATGTAAAATTTTATATGTGAAACAAGCATAATTTGTTAAAGACTGGTATTTTTCTCTACATATAAAACAGCATTGTATCTTAAAAACTGAACCCCTAAAGTAGGGCAATTTCTTAAAATAGGCCTAAAAGGGGCTGGAGATTTAGCTCAGTGGCATAAGCACCTGCCTTGCAAGCAGGCGGTCATGAGTTTGATCCCCGGTACGGGAAAAAAGAAAGAAAGGAAAAAGAGAAAGACAAAAAAATAGGCCAAAAAGAAAACCCTGCAGCTTTTCTTTCCAAAAAATGATTGCAAGAGTTTCAAACCTCAAACACTATCATTAAGAAAACAAACAAAACCTACCGACAATAATATTAAACTAAAAGAAACATTCCTTGACAATTCAAAATCTTTATTCAGTATATATTTACAGTATAAGCCTCAAAATAATGTTACACTTACTCTTTTCATCTGATCTACAGTAATAGTAGAAGATTTCCAGAGAGATTTTAATAAATCCAAAATCATCTTGAACGCACTTTCTCCAGTTGATTCTAAAACCATTACAATAGCCTAAAAAATGAGTGAAAGAATAATTCATAAAAGTTGTGCCTATAATGTATCAAATGTTTCCACTAATATTGAGAATTACAAAGGATGTATTTTTTTAAAAATCACTTTAATATTTTTCAAAAAAATGTTACTAAGAAGCATTAAGTCACTAGAATACAATAGGAACATTTAAAAAATTTAACGTGGCAAAATAATCTTACTTCATATACAAGTT